GGCCATGGGTCGTAAGAGAAAAAGTCTCTACAAAGTGTTTTGGAAGAAAAGAAAGGCTTTAGAAGAGGCAGATATATCATGGAACGCTTTGCGTGGAGAGCTGTCCATGCAAAGCATTATGGGATTTGCTGTCACAGCGGCCCGCTGTTGCCATAGGCTGCCGCTACCTTACAGCGGCGACTAATAACAAAGTTGGTGCAGACACAGTGCAGTGGACCAACGGGGAAGTGATTATCTGTCCAAACAATAAGTTGACTGAGTTCAGTCGGTAAAAAGTAAATGCTGCTCAAAATATTTCAAAATCCATCATATATCTCGCAATTTTGTTTACAGGAATCAAGGTGATTGGAGCCAATTCAACCTGGAAAGGCTCACACAGGGAAAAGCTGCAATTACAAAAATATTCAATCATTTATAGAGGTAACTTATTTAAGGATAAGCAGCTAATTTCAAGGACTCATTGACTCTCTGCAATCCTCGCACTGAGCATGCAAGTAGCGACAGTGGAGAGGAAAACTCCTGCTAAACAGGAAGAAAAATCCAGCAGAACCAGGCTCAGTGCGAACAGTAGTGATGGGTTGATGAGGCGTCATGAAACGTTTCGACACATTACCAAACTGTATTGATACAGTGTCGATACTGTGTCACTGAATACTGACACCTGCTGGACATTAAAAATCCCTACAGGCAACCTAGCTGACAAAGTTAACTGACACTGATTTGATGACCTATTATATACACTAATATGATGCAATTCATTGTATGATGCATTGTATTATTATTAAAACATATTTGATATTTTAGACACAGTCAATGAATAATTAGAACCTGCATCATAATGTAATAATCTCTAAGTAAACATGTAGTAAATGAAGATGCTTGTTCACTGGTATTTTTTTTTTTACAAATTTTTATTCAAAAAAAAAGTTGTTGCAACGTTTTGAAATTCAGTCTGTTGCGCTTTTTTGATATTAGTTCTCCAGCTGTGGAAAACACCCGCTCACACGGCACAGATGAAGCTGGAGTGCACAAAAATTTTATGGCCAGGCGGAAGAGGTTTGGATAAACCGTCCTTTGGTTTTTCCAATATACAAGAGGATCCTGGGACCTCGCAATATTGCCCCCTGCCATGTATCTCTGCACCTCAAGGATGGCATCAGCTGTGGCACTTTTGGTCTGCCTCCCCACTTCGAGATTAAAATGTTCCCAAAGGTCATCTTAAAAAAATAAATAAAATAGTATTTTAGTACATGATTTACAAACAACAAAAAAATGATGCTCAATATCATGCCTGAAGTGGGGGCAGACAGCTGTTGTGAAGATGTTCCCGGCTGGGGCTCATTTGAGCTTCCAATTGAGGCACATTCTGTCCGCAGCCTGCTGTACTTCCATTTTCACTCATTCCCGTTCCTCCTCGTACTTTTTGGTCAACAGTTGTTTGATGGTCTGAAAACCACACCAAGTCAAACCAGAAGAAAATCAATATATTTAAAATAAATTTGATGAATAAACTACCACTTTAGATAATTTCCACACAAACCTTTCTGGTTGGCAAAACATATGAATGCTCAAGGAGCTGAACCAGCTCCCTGAACCCTTCATTCTCCAAAACAGCGATGGGCTGGCAGTCCTTTACAATGAAATTAAGCACAGCCTCATCAAGCATCTGCTTCCTGGAAGCTTGATGGTTAAAAATGAGAAAGTGTAAATTATTCAGAATTATCAATAAAACAAAGTCAGTAAGTTGTAAAATACCTGTATACCTGAATTCATCATGGGTGTATCATGGATTTCACTCTCATGCTTGGCCCTATAATGCCTCAGCATTGAGGAGGTGCTGTTATTTAAATATGCAAGCTCTGTTGAGCAATTGCGACGTTTAACCTGCAGAAAATAACACGAACAGTAAACTAAAGGTCACTTTGAAATGAATTTCTACTCAGAAAATTAAGCGGAAACTCTGAGAGGAACAGGATGAAACAAGGAAATTAAAACAAATACCTTATTTTCCGAAATGACATCAAAGTGGTCCCACACGGCAGAAACCTTTCTTTTTGTTTGAGGAAGCTCCATAATTTTTGATGAATTTTATATTCGCAAAACACGCAAGATTGTTTTGGCAGATGCATCTCGTTGGCAGATGCGCTTCCTTATAAAGGCTTGTCAATCAGTTCGAAACATCGGTCACGTGACCGATACAGAAACTGTTTCGGTCACGTGACTTTCCCGTAGCGATACACACGTCGACACAGGTTTCGCTCTATGAGACCGACACATGCGCCGACGCATCGGTGTTGCCCGACCCATCACTAGCGAACAGCCATCTGCTTAGGTTGACTGGGGTTCATGGAGCAGAAGCAGACATAAATAAAATTATTTCTTTGGCACTCAAGTCCCGGCAGAAGACTTTGATACTGTGAATCAAAATTCCCTTGAATGAGTAACCTAGAAATTGATTTTCTGGGGCCGAACACTGGTGGTGGAATAAGCCAGAGGGTGAGTGAGACTGAGAACAGTCTGAGAGTGAGGGAGAACATGGGGTGGAGGTGGGTGAAAGTTTGCTTGTGTGCAGGAGAGAGAGGCTAAGCAAGGAGCTATATAAAGAGGATCTTTAGATGATGATTGGCTTCTGAGAAGGTGTGGCCCCCGAGTTGATTGGCCGGAGCTGAACAAGTGACATCACAGGTGGTTCAGGTGTAGCTAATAAGAGTTTTCCAGATTGAATTTACCCTTAGCCTTCTCACATGGCCCAGGTAATAAAGGCCACTGGGCTCTAAAACCTGTTGGCCAGTATCCAAAAAAATTTGCTATTTTTTTGTGTTGCATTAACAGTGTCTATGGAATGTGATGTGATTGTTTGTATACTGTATTATTTTCTTGATTGATGGTATGCTAACTAGAGAAAGCTGCAAACTAACTTATCCTTTTTTGAGAGGGAATAAGTAAAGTTTTTCCAAACTGAACTTGATGTTTTCAAAGGCTGGTCTTGGTTTTTAATGTCACAAAGCCAGACTGCTGAAGTTCTATGCTCAACTCTCTATTTGAGGTCCTTCCTATTTTTTGGGGTTGTGGTGAAACTTTACCAAACTATTGGTAAATTTTTAATATCTTTTAACCCAACATGAAGCATCCCTTGCCATTTATGTAAAAGAAAAATCCAACATTTGCTTACTCAGCTGTTGTGTGCACTGTGTCTTCTAAGATGGCGATTAGAAAGGAAGAACCCTGATGTTTTTCAGTGCTAGTTTGATAAAGAAACTAGAGTTACTAAGGTTGATAGGGTATCTAAAGGGCAGACAGCGGTAAAGAGCAGCAGCAACAAAAGGGGACAAGATGAAGAAGGGAGGAGAGGGAAGGTCAGGAAGGATGAAAAAAGGCAAAAGGGCTAGGAAAATTAAAGAGATGGTGGAGTAAAAACAGGCCACCCAAACTGCAAACACAACCTGCGGTCAGAGGTTCACGTGTAGTTCAGGGTGACCCTAACAGCACCCTCGAGAACTTAAAAGACTGACCATGAAAAAGACAGCGAGGGGGGAAAAAAGAGTGAGGTTATGGGCTGGAGGGAGGAGAGAGGTGGGACAACAGAGTAATAATTAAGGTCTGCGGGAGCTCAGGAAAGGAATCCCTACAGACGAGGTTTCAGCCGACGCTGCAGGTTTGTACAGAGGCCAATTAACTAAACACATTCTTCTAAGTAACCAGCAACACCTAACCTATGTAAAAAGCTCACTTTCACATCACTCCTTATCTCACTGATTATACATTTCTACTGATTTATGCTAACCACGAGTGACTGGTAACCTGACTAAAGAGAGTTTTGTCCCTTTACTGCTTAACAGAGGCACCCAAAAAAAACCACTGCCCTGAACAGAATTAAACACTTAGAATAAACTGAAAGGATGAAAGATTTCAAACTGTGCAGAACCTCAACATGTTAACATCTTGAAATTCAATTTGGGCAAAGTCAGACCAAAATTACCTCTTAGTTTACCAGAAAAAACCCATCAATGGTGACCTTCAAGAAATGTATCTTCTATAAACTTATTTAACTTAGCCTTACTAAATTCAGAAACTGTTGAAATACATTTAAGTTATCATACAGAAATTATAATTAAAGAAATTGAAAAAAATGCAAAGAAATCAATGTAAATTTAAAATTGTATATTTAATTGCTTATGGAACAGCTAATGCCTGGATTTGTTGTATTTTTTTGGTAAATTTTTGTCAAGGCTCTGAAGAGAGGACCTAGTATTCAAGGCAAGACAGACAATGGGATAATTCAAAAGTGTTTATTAAGAAGCGAAACTGTGGTAGCAGCAGCCAGGGCATCTTATCAGGAACCTCTGCAGGAGAGAAACACAGGTTAGTGACCACATGGGAGTCACGCGCTTTCCTCAGTGCCTCTGTATCACTGAGTTCTGTGTTTTTGGCGATTTACGAACCTCCCCATTCATCCAGGGTCGTTGGTTGGCCCTGTTTTTTGGTCATATTGAACAAGAACCTCGATCTCCAAACTGGTAAAGTCTTTCTTCTTCGTCTGTAATGCCATACCTGTGAATGAACACCGTCTGACAAGTGCTTGAAGTCATAACCTTATATGAATTTATCAGGGCGGTAATTATGCAGATTTGCAGTTTTCCAGGAGGCGCGTTCATTTACACACAGGTGGACTAAATCGTGTTTACAAGGATTAGTTACTCAGTTATCAGAAGTTTAGAACATTTTTTGAATCCTATGTGGCAAAGGAATAGGAGCCCATGGTAGGGGAAAAAGTTGTACAAAATTATAAAAACAAGTTGTTGCATGAGGTCCATTCTTCTCTTGGAAATTAGAAAAGTGTATTCCATGTTTTTCCAATCTCTGCTGAAAGTGTAACCTTTTCCCCTTCATGGTTGTACTAATTGTTTGAAAGGCTCTATAGAGATGGATTGAATTGAAATGCTCAAACTCCTGAATTCTCCTGAACACAAGAAAAGACGAAAAGGTACAAGGTACGCAACTGATTGATCAGAAGTGCAGTTTTATTGATGATACTAACGGTGCAACTCTCTGCAGGTATCAGTTAAAATACAGAATACATTCAGCCTGTTTTCCATAAATCACTTTATATTTTATAGTAACAACAGCAAATAGATTTGTCTCAGTGTTGCTCATGCAAAAGCACAGTGATCAGTTCACTCAGGTAAACACATCTAACTTACAATAAAAATACAGTCTTATGGGCACTTTTTTCTTGCTGAGGCATTGGTTAGTGTCACTGCAGAAGGAGAAGGCACGCTGCATTCACTTAAAGCAATACAATCTGAAAAAAGAGCTCTGAGTTTAAGCTTAAGGGCATCTGGATACTTTTGCCTGAGGTCATACGCAGAATTTTCTAAAGCAGGAAGTCCATGGCTCTGTATGCAACACCTGTAAGACACACAATACTAAATGAAAGTATCCTGTATATTATCTGGACCATTAAAATATTTTTGAAGGGTTTTTTTTTTTTTTTTTTGCAGGATTTTATGATCAACACATTTTCTGACACATCAATGCTTTCAGTTCATGTTGAGAAAAATATATATTTTTTAAAGATGAATTCATTTATAAGGGAAAAAAAGGCTTTCCAAAGCAAGCTGTGCATGATATCAAAAAGTAACCCCACCCTGAACACAGTAGTTAGTTGCAGCTCCTTTAGGGGCACCAACTGACATCAAACAATTCCTATAATTTGTAAAGAGGTTTCTACATCAATGTGGAGGTACTTCTGTCTGCGTCTCTTTCAGAATCGTTTTAATACTAAGTCTTTTTAATGTCATGCCAAATTAATTCAGCCAAATGTAAATATGAACTTTGACTTGGGCACACCAAAGCCTGAATCGTTGAAAGGTGGACTTGTTTTTTTGGGATAATTTTACTGCTGGAGAACCTTAGTTACTAGCTGATGGAAAGACATTCATCTTCAGACTCTTCTGGTCATTTTACATCCATTATTCCTACACCACAATGCTTCATTGTTGATTTATTATTTTTTTTTTTATAATGCCGTGTTAAGGAGGCCATTTCTGTGAAGACTCTTTCTTATTATGAAATCAAAAACTTTGACATTAAATTAGCCAAGCGAGGCCTGCTGAGCTTGCTAGTACTGGGTTGTTTTGTGACCTCCATTTGACAAATTCTGTTGGAAAGGTCCTTTAATCTTCCCCATATTCTTTGAATATTGAAAATTGGTTTACCATATGGTATTTTTTGGGGGGTCCAAAAGCTTATTAAACTTATTCTAAACCTTTATTAACAAAATATTCAAAAGCTTTAGATTTACTCTGGAAGTAAGTTTGATGCAACAAAATAGATTTTACCTTATTTTTATAGTGAGGGACCATATGTTAAGGCTGTTAAACCTCTTATTTATCATCTGTTCCTTCAAGATGTCTAAATGATAGTCAGTATCCATTTTATAACAAAACTAAAAACAAGACATTGTATGATAAACTGTTTAAAAAAAGGCTTAGATGGGTTTTGTTACTTTAGCTTTTTTCCCCCTTTATAATAATTTTAACGGTATATGCTGCAATTAATTATATGCTCTCTAACTAAAAAAATAAATAAATAAAATTTCAGATTATTTTCCTTTTGTTTCTCGTGTTCTGGTTATGAAAGGATCAGCGGCTGCTGTAGAATTTAAAAACCTGGCAAACAGACAGCGTTATGAGTTCTTATCAGGTCAGTTCATCCATCCTAGAGCTGCTCTGAACTAACAAAACCCAAGCTCTGAGATCAACAGTAACAAATCCTCAACTTAACCTGCTGAACCGTTAGAGCTGTGAGGCTCGAAGAGGAAGAGAGGCGGCAGTGAAGCAACAGGGAACAGAATGGGAATGAGAAGAAAGATGTTTACATGTTACTTGAATGTTGTTTTACCATAGTTAAAGTCTGATTCCGAAAGCTAAACATTTTCTTTATTGTTTGAGTAGTTACTGATTAATAACTACTGTAATAACTGATCATTTCCAATTGCTTTAAGAAAATGAAATGTGGCCCGGTTCAGAGATACTGTCAGTGGTTTAACATTTCCAAATAGGAAGAGGGGCCTCAAGTTAAGTTTTGATAAAGTTCCCATTCAGCCTACCTCAAGTTCCCTGTTGTTCTTAAGTTTTCATTACTGTGAAAATCAAGCTAAAAAGGTTTAAACACAACAACTGTGTCCTTTTATTTTCTTAAAGCCTGTCCTTAAAGGTCAGCTTGAGTGCTAAAAAGAACAGGCTGCATAAAAAGCTTGGACAGAATATCTAAACTTAATTCCATGTGACAAATCTTTTTAAAACTTTAATCATTATAAAGATAAACGAACATTTTCAGGCATAATTTTAACTTTCAGATAGAGATCAGCTCTAACAGAGCGTGGCCACTGGATAGCGCAATATCTAAGCAAATGCTAACACCATTAGGGATTTGCTACAGAGCAGATCAGACTGGTTACATCTTGAAAACAGAAAAAAGAAAATCTTATTATTGAAATGAAAATTTAATTCCAATCAATCTAAAATGTTTCATCGGGTTCCTCTGTTTGATTTAGACTAATTGTGTTTCAATGCGCTGCATTATTAAAATGAACTATTAAAGTAGAATTTGATCATATAATTATCAAATATTCAATAAAAATGCAAATTAAGGATGGAGTGAGGAGAATAAAAGTGCAACTTTAGGAAAGACTAAAGAGACAGCAGCTAAGTGGACACTTAGGCAGGTTAGACAGCACCTAATAGCATCATGTGATCACATAGACTCAGAGCAAAATAGATCCAATCAAACAATCAATTACATTTCTACACTCTGCAAAACAATTTTCGAGTAAAATGTTAAACAAATATGGAGTTTTTTAATCAAATCTAACCTTGGCAGCATAAAGGGATAAAAAAATAGTGTCTGTATGTTTCTTTGCTCTTTTGATTACTGTATGTTGATGCTCAGAATCAGGGTTTTAAAGTAAAACTTGACTGACTTCAGGTTCTTCAATCACAGCTACAGCAAGATGAGAAGGCCTCAGAAGACAAAAGCATGAATATCACTTTTGAATAAATTTCCTGATTTTTATGTCCTTTTGACGTCTTTTCTTTCCTCAAGTTTCTTCCACATCACTGATCTTTAGCCTTGGCAGGTCCAAATGGTCCAACCATCTTCATGGCAGCGTAGTTCTGAGGTGTAAAACAAACACAGAGATGCCAAGATGTTAAAGATGTATTTTGATTACTATTATTAATATTTATGTCAGTTTGGCTGACATATATATTTACCATGTTCTCTTACAAAAAACATGTGTTTGCTGACACAATTTTGGATTAAAGCTCCAAACCACGAGCCAACTAAAACTCACCGGGAAGGAGTACAAGAAGACACCCAGGAAGAGGAAGATGAGGAAGAGGATAATGAAAAGGATGATGAACCACTTGAATCGCCTCCACACAATAAATTTGAGGGTCTTATAGGGCGAGGAGAACCAGAGGAAGGACGTCTCTGGACGCCTTTTGGACAGAAAAAGGGGCATAAGGATGAAAAGGGGAGATTTTCATGTTATGTTTTAATGTGAATCTCTGCAGGTGTGTAACTCACTGAGGCTCCTCTAGATGGGGGTTCATGTTGGGCTCATCTCTGCCAAGCCCAGCTGGTCTCTCCTCATGTTCCTGCTCTGTCACTATCTCCAGGGACATCTCCACTTTCCCCTGAAACACAGACATTCATCCTCAGACTCCTAAATTTTTGTACCTGCTTCTGCAGCCATTTCCCCAAACCAAAAAAATCAGGACTGCATTTGTATCAAATGTGTTCTTGGGTGTTCTCACAGCAATTATCTTCTCCCCGTTTTTCTCACAGGTGCAGGGCCACCATCCTTTAACGGTCTTCTGTTCAAATAGAGAGACCAGTTTTTCCATGGGCTGGTCCAGCGTCTGCAGGGTGCATTTCTCTGGAGACTTGGCAGGACGCAACATGTGGTTCAGGTCCATCACTATGTGGCCTAAACACACATTTATGGCATTTTAAAGACCATAGTTAAGACCAAACACTTCTCAATGAGCCACTATCCCAAATGTAAAACCAAAGTGAACTTGTCCTGACCTCTAAGGCTTACCAACATTTATAATTCCTAACCTCACTGTTTGCACTAACTGCAAAAAACAAGGTGGACTCAAAAGATGGAAGGACAATCCAAAGAGTAACATAGGTTATCACGTTCTGCTATTCCACAGCAAATGCAAAATGCATTATTTGGACAAGCTCTTTTTTTTCCATGGATTAATGTGGATGTTAAAATCAAACAATAATTTTCCTTTTGTGTTCTGTATGTACCTGAAAGAAGATTGAAAATGTTACAGTTCACATATGTACAGAGTAAGTATTCGCTCCCAGTGTTTCGTAAATTTTTTTGTGTTTTACTTTCTGAAGTATCCTTTTTTTAGAGAGCTACATAGAGCTTAACCTCTTTTGAGGTCAATTTTTAAAAAGTGGAGTACCCATCCACCCATCTTCTTCTGCTTATCCAGGATCCGGTTGTGGGGGTAGCAGCTTCGGTAGGCAGGCCAAGACATGCCTCGCCCCAGCCACTTGTGCGAGCTCCCCCGAGTGGAATCCCTAGGCATTCCCAGGCCAACCGAGAAACAGTCCCTCCAGTGTGTCCTGGGTCTCCCTCTGGGTTGGACATGCCCAGAACACATACGTACCTGGGATCTCGTTCTTTCGGTCATGACCCAAAGCTCATGACCATAGGTGAGGGTATGAACGTAGATGGACCAGAAAATTGATAGCTTTGCCTCTTGGCTCAGCTCTCTCTTTACCACAACGGACCGGTACAGCACTCGCTTCACAGCAGACGCCACAACAATCCGCCTATCGATCTCAAGCTCCATTTTCCCCTCATTTGTGAACAAGACCTCAAGATACATAAACTCCTCCACTAGGGGCAGTACATCCTCCCCAACCTGGAGAAGGCACTTTACCGTTTTCCGGCTCAAGTCTGTGAGACCAAATTCTAAGGCCACCAAAACAGATTCCCTCATCAACTTGGCTGCACCTAGAAATTCGGTCCATAAAAGTTATGAACAGAATCAGTGACAGATGGGCAACCTTGGTGGAGTGAAGTGTGGAGTACCTCTCATCAATAATGCACAAGCAATCTTCAGGTCTTTCTTGACAACATCAGCTAAAGTGAGGCTGAATGGAACAGAATCTAGTCAAATACAGCAAAATGTAGATGTTAGGAGGCCAAGGCACATGTCAACTGAGAATGCAAGGGGATGGCCAGATCAGAGTTTTCAAGGAGGGAATTTGTGAAACCAAGAATAAGCTTTTAATGCATTATTCCTTAGTCAATATTGTGATTAATTAGTCTGTGAGTGGTTTTTACAGATGATCCTGTAATGAAAGCTGGTTATTAAAGTTTTAATTATGTTGACATTAAGTATGGAGGTCTGCAGAAAGACCAGACATCCACTGAAAGTGTTTTTCCAGAGTTAGCTCAAGTTCAGAAGCGTGTCTGCAGGAAAGCTGCTTGCGTCTGACCCTCACACCGTTCAGGAAGATTAACCGTCAGCGGTCCGAGCCGACGAGCTGCAGACAGGCAGGCATGGAAAAAATGCTTTGAGGTGGCCACACACCCCAGCCGGGATGAGGAGAGTAAAGCCGAGCGAGACGGTGACAGACAGGAACGGCTCTGAATCTGGAATCCTCATCCTATCACGCCGCAAAGGGACGACCCGTAGCTCCGACCGCCGTCCTCCCCTTTTTCCCGGGCAGGGAAACAAACTGAGGCAAGTCGGAGGGAGCCAGAGGGGTTGTGAGTTATTTCAAGAGACAGGGTTGAGGCAGAGTCAGGGGTGAAGGAAAGGCAAAATTTTGACAGCTTGAGTTCAGTGGAGAAAAAATAAAATCAGCCTCTCCCTCCCAGCCAAAAGTGCCGACACAGTGGAAATGAAAGAGTGTTAATTCTAAAGATAAATGTTATCACAGTAGTTGTCCGTACATCGCACATATGGTTTCTCGGCTAGGTTTACACCCTAATTCCTTTGCCAGAAAAGAGGAAAATCTGTCTGAATGTCAAACTCAAATTGACTTAAGTATTTGTCAACCCCCAGAAGGCACTAATATGCGATTCTAACTCAATTACAGGGAAAATAATATGAATGCAGAGACTTTCTTTTAGCAGAAAAAGAATTTCAGGAATGTAAAAAAAAAAAAACCAAGAACCTTATTAAATTAAAGTAGGCTCTTGAAATGCTACAATACCAAACATAACCTGCTGCATTTAATCCAAAAATATACAGCAGCATCCATGATTTCCTCCAACTTATCAAAGGTTTTAAATCCTCTTTACTTATTGCAGCATAATCTTAAACAAAAAACATAGGAAAATTACAAAATAAATTTTAAGTAGATGTATTCAGACTAGAACATTACATTTTTGTAAAATAACAGGTGAGCACCCTTTACAATTCCCATCATATAATGCAACTGAACCATTGAGGTAAAATATGATGTGATACTTCAGTACTCTTCTTCTTCAGCATGTTGGTCACAAAGACGAAACACAGATTTGGGCATAAAAGACAGTTAAACTTTATCAAAATATTTTATGATTGAGTTTTAATGCAAATACACAGAAATCCACTAGCCTCCCAAATATTACATCCAAGCAGTCCTTTGACAATTTAGCTGGGGAAAACCCCCTTATGCCCAATGTTTAATATGGTGGTGGAGTTTTCATTATGTGGGTTTGTTTACCTGCAATAAACAGGAATCTTGATAGTGACATGCTAAAAACAACACTCTGAAGAGACCCACCCACTGTCCAGAAGGTCTACCAGGAAAACAAAAAAAGCTTTTTTGTCTTACTGTCACAAACATGAGTGTGTGTAGTTTGCTAGAGACTAAGATTGGTGTAATTTACAACCCCCCCCTAAAATATACCCAATATCTGCTTGTGGAAAACCCCCTCATGGCCAATGTTACGTGTGGTGGTGGATTTTTCATGATTTACGTATTTACGTATGTATCACCAAGTAACAGGAATGAGCATGGCAAAATTCAGCTAAACTATCTGGACATTTTATAAACACGCTAAATAAAAATTTGATGCCCAGCTCTAATGCCAGATATCTGAAAGTCATCATGGAATCTCTTAGAAGAAAGATGATCCCAAGAGCTTGATCAAAATCAACACATACATGAAACAATATCTACCATGGTTCATCTTGGAAATTAGACTTACATTTTATATACAGTAACATTCGGGAGATGAGCTGAAGAAAACAGAGAAGATAAGAACCAAGGCTCCAGATCATGCACAGTGGTGCTCAGGAAAATTAATAATACAGGGAGCTAACTTTGTCCTACCAACTGTTAATTCAAGTTCGTTGAAAGCTAAAACCATTATATTGACGATCAAAAAAGATAATCTTTATAGAAAAATTGTCTTTCCCAGTTGATAATACTATGAATTCTATATTGTTTTTTTAATCACTCTATTCATGCATGTGCTTGTTCCATCCTAATGTTACCTTCTTGTTAAGTGTTAATTCTAATGTTTTTCCCATGTATTTTATTTAGTCAAAACAGACATAGATGATATTTCTTAACAGAGAAGACTTTAGTAGTGTGCATTTGATTGTCCTTGATCTGGAACACTTTTTATTATCTCGATTAGGCTGCAGCCAGTGATGTTGCCTCATTTAGAAAAAAACATGTATATGATGCAGTGATGAGTGAAGCAATGACGTGGCAAAGTTTGATCCTGTAGATTTTTAACCCCGTCAGGCATTCCATATGTAACTAAGTTCTGTTAAACCTGCTGTCATGTTTTGGTGCTCATTATATATATATATATATATATATATATATATATATATATATATATATATATATATATATATATATATATTTATATATATGTATATATATGTGTGTGTGTGTACATAGACACATTTCAGTGTTTTTTTAAGTGTTTGTTTGCAGTGATCTCTGCTCAGGAAAAGAATCAGGGAGACAAAGCCTGAAGGTGTGAACAGAATAGCTCTATTACCTTTTACATGAAGCAGTTAAAGATCCAGGAGAAAGTGTGAGAGTTTATTTTGCAGAAAGTGAAACATCATTAAGTAGATTTTACTATTGTTATGTCTTAAACCCTCCTATTGCCTCTGGGTCATAATGACCTGAAAACAAGTTTTTTATTTATTTATGAATTTTAAGACTTTTCCTAAATTGACCCCAGCATTTGAAAAGTAATTGATGCCTTCAATCCTCTTTCCATCTAAACTGTGACATACAAGTTACAGATGTCATTTTGACCAGATAGTAATAATAGATAGAGCAATCAAGGAACCAAAATGTGTGAAAATTTGTGATTTTCTCCAGTAGAAGCCACTGCCTGTATAGAGGCTGGATTTTTCAGCCAATGAGGGTGGCACTAGAGATGAGGATGTCTGGGATTGTGGGAAAATATCAAATCTCATGATCGAAAAGTAACAAAACTACCATCTGGTCACTTTATTAGCAGTTTCCCGTATTAAAGAGGAGCAGGAAAGTATTAAGGAAAATTACAGGCTCTTGTCAAAATGTAATGATATGGTTTCTAACCAGCAAACCTGTAGTTGCAGGACAAACTTCTGTACACTGCACGATTGACATATTGCTAGTATTTTGGACTGCTAAGAGCCTATAAAGTGACTGCAGGTGACTGTGGAAACAATCATTCTTCTGCATTCAGAAATGTTTCATTGAACTGTTCTAAAAAAAATTTTTGTTTTTAATAAATTGCAAAAAAACAACAACTCTGGTTTAGAAGAGGAGGCGGTCTCGGAAGAAGAAGATGGGGAGAAATACAACCCAGACTAGGATGCCGATTTATCCACAGAAGTAGAAAATTAAATGCCTCAAGCTGTGATGCAAGTTGTCAAGTGGAAAGGCAAGTGGTAATTCTTGAATTGTTGCAGTTTTCTGCCGGGTTAACTGGTATTCACTCAGTTTGTTTTAAATGGCAACTAGATTTAGTGTATAAAATTCAATTACAGTGCATATAGATGGTTTAGTCAAACCTGTTGTAGAACTATATACTGTACATGTGCCGCATAAAAACTTTTAATTAATATTTCATTCATATAAGAAAACAAATCTTGTTTATTTTCTAAACCAAAGTGGTATAGAGCTGTTGGAAGGTCTAAAAAGCATCAGTAGCCAATAGTATCATTGTATGCTTCAACCCTACATGGCACTTTCCTTCATTTGCTGGTGCTCTGCTATGGCAAATGACCCTGTAAACTATCCTGGCAAAATCAAGCATAAAGTGAGAGTGTTATTTTATTTATTTTACCGAGGTAGTCATCAAAGGAGAACTTGTCATTGTCCCAGATCTGGATGGTAATTTTAGGCGCCACTTTGGTTTCAGCTTTATCAATGCTCCAGAAGTGTTCCTGCACAGAAATAAAGAAAACCACAATGAGAAAACTTTACATCTTAAAGGTAACGAGGAAGTTCTTTCATTTCCGGGTGGAGCATCTCAATAAGTGAACCTCCAAACTGTCTGCTCATATGTTTACATAAGGCCATCCTACACGCTCATCTCGTTAGCTATCTTTTTCTCCGCATGCGCACTTTCAGGCATATATGTGTGGTGAGCTATAGTTTCAGACAGTAATTGAAGCTCATCTTTGTCACTGAGGATCTTTGAGAATGGCCGAGGGTCGTAAGAGAAAAGGTGTCTACGAGGTGTATGAGAATTAAAGAAAGAAGTCAGAAGAGGCAGATGTATCCCCAAATGTTTTGCACTGAGAGCTCTCCTCGCAAAACATAATGGTTTTTGATGTCACAGCAGGACACTGTCGCTACCCGACAGCAGCAACTGATGACAAAGATGGGGCAGGCACCGCACAGTGGAGGAGGATGATCATTTGTCCAAATGGTAATTTAACTGAGTTAGCTATAAAATCCACTATATAGTCCCCGCTCTATATAGTGATGGAGGGATTTAGGGGCTAGCGCGGATGTTCAGGGACAGTAAACTTGTATGAGCTATGAGAACAGCAACTTTTAAATGGAGAGTGCAGAAAGAAAGATGAGCTCCTGCATGCTCTTGCACGCGGTTATTAGGCGTTCCCTCTCGATAGGGAGTACAGGGTTATGCATGTGCATTTTTATTTTGAAGTGGAGAAATTTTCCAAAATCCTCTACAATACCTTTAACTGTACAAATATCTTTCTAACATTCAGATAAACACTTGATTTTAATGTCTTCTTTGCCACAGTATTCTAAGTGGGTTAGTGATGCATCTCACTAGGTTAAATTACACAGTTTCTTTAAAACAGTTAATATAACACCCCGATGACTTACGTAAAAGAAATTGAGACTGTTAAGGAAATCAATGCACCCCCTTCTCATCGAAAAGGTATTCTGAGAAAAAGCAGATCTACATTTTTTTGATTCGGTGTAATGTTTTTCCAGTTGGTGCAGCCATGGAGTCTCATTTGCTCTGTTGTTGAAAAGTTGTAAATATTTCATGTGCATCAGGGTGACATTGACACATTCATTCTTTCTGCCTCTAAGTGCATAAGCACTACTAATATCATAACACCAACATGCCAGACAGATATCTGATCCCGTCTCATCTTCATGCTAATCTGCTTCACCCTGTTGCAAGGTTCCTCCCTTTTTCTTTCCACTCGCTTCCTTCTTTTGTATCCGTCTGTGACACTGTGCCGACTGTCATGTAGATAAAAAATATGTTTTTCACATATGAATTTAAATGGATCGAATGTGATTTGTAGTGAATGTCACACCAAATTTAAGTTCAGGTCTTGTACAAAGCATAGGGCAGCACATGGCAACGCCATAATGTGTGACATTACTATTAATATTAGAGTTGACTTGTTCAACCTTGACAACTTTGCATTATTCTCTTTACCATTTAGAGTTTCACAGTTTGCAACACGTGCAGTTCAGACATTGTAACAAGTGTTTTGAACACATATTTGCATCATATCAGAGCGCAGGTATTCAGGGCAACATTGATGCTTTACTGTATTAGTGCGGTATGGATGGAGGATAGGGGACTTAAGAAATACAGAAATGTGGTTCTATTTAAACAAAAGCTTGTCCTAAAAACAGTAGAACAAACCTACTTTTAATTATTAGTATTTTTTTTTACATAACAGCAGCTTAAATATATCCAGACAGATGAGGTTTCAATGTTTTTTTATGGTTATGTAGCATTACCATAAAAAACATGAGACATATTCAATCATCTTTAAATGAAACAATATAAAGCAAACATTCATGCTGATGGTGTTTATTTTGTCTTTCCTCAGCCTGAAAGGAAGTTTTGCACCATTATCAGTAGATAAAAAGATGTCTCAACTCTATCTAAGGCAAATTTCATGACTGGATTTATTGCATTGCTGCCATAATATCACAGCTCCACTCTGGAATTCACTAAACTACCAAAAGAGACCCAATGTTTCAATGGTTTTTAACAACAGTCTGCATGCCAAGGTGCTTGATTTTGTACACCTGTGGCCATGGAGGTGATTGGAAGTGATTGTGACACCTGGTTTCAATCATTTGGATGGGTAAGAAAATACTTTTGGGAATCAGTGTTGTTTTTGACAGCCATCTTATATTTAGTCTTAGTTTTTTCATCTTCAGGACTAGGGTTAGGGTTAGGGATTATTAATTTGAGTCAAATTTTAGTCATTACTATGAGATAGTTTTAATCAGTTTTAGTCGACTAAAACTAAAAAATCAGTCAGTTAGTCAGTTTTATGTAGCACTTTACAAACATCTCACTACAGTGTGAATTCACAACCTGATTTCTAGAACCGAAATAAACTTTTTATGATGAAAATAGCAAACAGACAAGCTAACAAAATGGAAAATAAAGGAATGGTGTTAGACATACAAGGTTGCCATCCCAAAAGCATAGACTTCCTAAACTATCAAGAATTATGCATTACACATAGATAAATAACCTTTTCATCTGGGTCTTTATCCAAAAATAAACTATGCAATTAAATATTTGCTTTGAATATAATTTAAAAGGGTTTGCATAACTTTTTGTGAGCTTGAAGACAAAAGGATTTTTTACGCCTGGCAGAGGACGATCAGCCACATATCTTTCATGACAATAAATCATGAAAAAAGGAGCATCAACAAAATAATTTGGTCATCGTAATTGTTGACGAAAACGAAACTTTTGGGAATGTAGTGTACCAAATTGGAAACTTGAAATGTTATGCATTTACATACTATTTATATATGTTCTAATACTACTGCTAAGAACCTTAATAATAGTATAGGTCTTATAGCTGGTTTAAATCTTATTTATCTGACAGGTTTCAGTTTGATCACATTAATAATAAATCTTCCTCATGTTCAAAGGTTACCTGTGGAGTAACACTGCGATCAGTGCTAGGGCCAATTCTCTTTACTATATACACTCACCGGCCACTTTATTAGGTACACCTGTCCAACTTAGACTTAGACTTAGACTTGACTTTATTAATCCCTTGGGATTACTCCCTTCGGGAAGTGTTCGTTAACACTTAATTTCTAAGCAGCCAATCACATGGTGGCAACTCAGTGCATTTAGGCATGTAGATATGGTCAAGACAATCTCCTGCAGTTCAAACCGAGCATCAGTATGGGGAAGAAAGGGGATTTGAGTGACTTTGAACGTGGCATGATTGTTGGTGCCAGAAGGGCTGGTCTGAGTATTTCAGAAACTGCTGATCTACTGGGATTTCCACGCACAACCATCTCTAGGGTTTACAGAGAATGGTCCGAAAAAGAAAAAACATCCAGTGAGCGGCAGTTCTGTGGGCGGAAATGCCTCGTTGATGCCAGAGGTCAGAGGAGAATGGCCAGTCTGGTTCGAGCTGATAGTAGGGCAACAGTGACTCAAATAACCACCTGTTACAACCAAGGTGGGCAGAAGAGCTTCTCTGAACGCACAGTACGTCAATCTTTGAGGCAGATGGGCTACAGCAGCAGAAGACCACACCGGGTGCCACTCCTTTCAGCTAAGAACAGGAAACTGAGGCTACAATTTGCACAAGCTCATCGAAATTGGACAATAGAAGATTGGAAAAACGTTGCCTGGTATGATGAGTCTCGATTTCTGCTGCGACATTCGGATGGTAGGGTCAGAATTTGGCGTCTACAACATGAAAGCATGGATCCATCCTGCCTTGTATCAACGGTTCAGGCTGGTTGTGGTGGTGTCATGGTGTGGGGAATATTTTCTTGGCACTCTTTGGGCCGCTTGGTACCAATTGAGCATCGTTGCAACGCCACAGCCTACCTGAGTATTGTTGCTGACCATGTCCATCCCTTTATGACCACAATGTACCCAACTTCTGATGGCTACTTTCAGCAGGATAATGTGCCATGTCATAAAGCTGGAATCATCTCAGACTGGTTTCCTGAACATGACAATGAGTTCACTGTACTCAAATGGCCTCCACAGTCACCAGATCTCAATCCAATAGAGCATCTTTGGGATGTGGTGGAACGGGAGATTTGCATCATGGATGTGCAGCCAACAAATCTGCGGCAACTGTGTGACCATCATGTCAATATGGACCAAACTCCCTGAGGAATGCTTCCAGCACCTTGTTGAATCTATGCCACGAAGAATTGAGGCAGTTCTGAAGGCAAAAGGGGGTTCAACCCGTTACTAGCATGGGGTACCTAATAAAGTGGCCGGTGAGTGTATATATACTGTCAATTGGTAAATTTATAAAACAGCATGGGATTAATTTGCACTGTCTATCTGTCTGTCTGTATGAAGCTAAACCATTACATAGACTAAAGGCATGTCAAACATGTTTGATTTTCTCCTGACCTGATCGGGAGGTGGTTGTGAGAGGCTGATCACCCCTCTTTACCCCATGTACACTACAAGAAGAAAGACGCATCATCAAGCTGAAAGTCGGGCCGATCGGCAAAATTCTTGCACGACTGGAAAGTTGCCCCGAAAAGGGGCAAAAAGTCGCACAGTGTAAGCTTAGCTTTAAATGGCCAAGCTCCTTTCTATATCAGAGATCTAATTGTACCTTAAATCCCTAACAGAACACCTTGCTCTCAACCTGCAGTTTTACCAGTGCTTCCTAGAATTTCTAAAATGAGAATGGGAAGCAGACCTTTTAGTTATCAGTCTCCTCTTCTTTGGAAACTACTAGTTTTAGTTTGTGAGGCAGGCACCCTGTTTACTAGGCTAGGCTTAAAACTTTCCTATTTGATAAAGCTTGGAGTTAGAGTGGCTCAAGTTTTTCTGTCTATCTCTATAGTTATGCCGCTATAGTCTTAGACTGCTGGAGGACATAGGGACTCCTTTTTCATTATTGTGCTGCATTATCTATTCTCCAATTCTGCAGAATTTGTTAGTTCAATTTCTAATGCTATCTTCTCTCTGATTTTTCTCATAGTAGCTTCATCCTGTCTGTTCCTGTTTGGCTCCTACACCACCCAGGAGAGAAATATCAGCTGTGCTGCTGCCATTTACACCGTTTCATATATATGTTGGAGTTCGGTTGAGCATACCATGTCTTTAATGGTGTGCTCGACATCTTGCTCAGTTTAAAAACAAACTTTTTCAAATTAAGTTATTACTTTACCAATGCCATGAACAGAAGCAATGGCAAATGGGAGCAATTGTTTTCTATAACACTAAAGTGCATAAATCATGTCCTTGGTGCTGCCAGAGTCCTAAACACAGGAATTTTTCTTCAGTATTTCCTTAATCCATCTTCTTCTATGAAATCCCATCGATTGCTGGGGAAGATTTGTCAACTTACAATAGTTTGAGAAAAATATTCCTGTGAAACTATAAACTGCTGTCAAATATTCACAATCATCCAGTAGACAACATCCAACAAATCAAAAAAATTAGGAGATGTTTAAGAGAACTGGCAGATTCAAGAAGTTAAAAAGCCTTTGAAGGAGGATGAAGGGTAAGTTAGTAACTTTAAAGTAAATGGTCTTTGTCAAATATAATAAAAAAGTTACTTAATTTATTTTAAATACTGCATATTTTGCAAAAGTGTCTAAAGCCACCGAGGAGGGAATTGATAGGAACCATTGATCAGTCATTCTGACTCTGCGGCTGAGGTTTTTGGCTTCATAAACCCTATTTTTGGCTCCTTCTCTCCACCCAGCAGAGTTTTTCATTTAAAACTCCCCGTTGTCTTTTCAGCTGCTCACTGATTGAAGATGCTGGAGAGAGAGGGCGAGTGCTGTCATAAAACACGTCGGCAGAGAGTGGCTAAAGAGGCCCGGCCACGGGCCAAGAGAAGCAAATGACAGCCTGGTTGTTATTTCAGTTTTTGGAGTGCTGTTATTTCAGCTCCTGGCTGCATGTTTTTGTTGAGTCTCTGAGTTTCAGCAGCATCCACTCCTGCTTGTACAAATGTCATATCATGATTTTTGTTAATTGCAGGCCACCGCGGATTAGTTAGGGAGGGCGGACATCGCCTCAGAAATTTCTATAAGCCTGACTCAGCTGTCTGATCTATAACTGCTGATATTATAAATATTTTACCTTTAAATTTAAATCCCTCGCTGTCATACTATAACAATTGCAGACGCACTCATTGGATGTTCAAGAAGACTTTTTGGTCTAGTTGTCAAGGGGAGTTACAAGCAATTATTTGAGTAAAGAAGATTTTTGTTTCCAGTAGCTTGACGTAGCATCGCATAAAAAGAATAATTACCCATAAAGAGTGAATGAAACTCAATAAATAGCACATGGAGGAAATTCATGACACTCCACTCCACGTCAGCAGTTTACAGAGTTCAGACATGAAAATGGAATAACATGAAGAGATTACAAGGTCAGCAACATCCCAGTCAAGCTCCAGTATCCATATTTTAAGACATGTATTCAAGAAATTTAAAGTAAGCACTTTCAACCATTTGAAAACTACAATAACGTGATGAGATGTTTTTCTTTTGTTGGTTTTTATCGCCTCTAAGTTATATTGTGAAACATTAATTATTTAATAGGTTTGAATTAATTACACATCTTGCCTATCTTTATCTCTCTTCTTCCCTTTTTTTTTATCTCCGTCCTCACACCTGAACTTTGTTAAATACAGCAGTATTAATACATTTCCATCAGAATCAGAATCATGACTTAAAGCAGCTGTAGAACACTTAAGCATACTTTATGAAATATAGTATGGTCCCACATGGAAATAATTGATCCATTCTAGACACATTTTATGCTTACATTTTTTTAAGTTACATATATCACACCTATATGTTCTCTCTCTACAGAGGTTTCTGCCTTAGATTAGATTAGATTCAACTTTATTGTCATTACACAGGTACAGGTACAAGGCAAAGAAATGCAGTTTAGGTCTAACCAGAAGTGCAATAGCAGCAAGTGCAGGATAAATAATGGTTCCATAAATACCAGACATGGGTTTTTTACTGAATAAGTATAGAGATGAATACCGTTCTCTCCCTACAGAGGTTCCTGCCTTAGATGCCAACGCTTAGAGTCCTGCAACGGGGCGGGTCCCCGACGGGTCACCCGCTAAAATCCTCTTTTGCGGGTGAAAAATACATAAATAAAAATAAACGGGTCGGGCGGATATTTTTTTAGTGCGGGCGGGTAGTTGGTGATATTTTTTTTTATGCGTGTGTGTTGTTATGGACATCAGAAATGTTATATTAATCAGGCACTGGGGTCACCCTTGTTGTAGCTTAAAGCCCTGCCGGCAGTGTGGGCTTCCCTCCAAAAAGGCCACAGTCAGTGCATACACGTCTGCTGCAGTGTTAATGGCGCTGTTCTGCAGCACAGCGTACTATAGCCTATTACTTGATGTGTTAACGGGTCGGGTTGCGGGTTAAATATCAATGGGTCGGGTTCGGATTTGAATTGAAGATATCCGCGGGTGACGGGTCGGGTTCGGTAGTCATCCTAACGGGTTCGGGTTGGTAAAACTCGACCCGTGCAGGACTCTACTGACGCTGCGCTCTGCAGTTCCGTTTCAAATAAATGTGTTGAGAAATCTGTTTGTCCACCTCAAATACTCGGTCTTATTGTTTTGAGCCTGACAGAGGCAGCGCATGCTGAAGCACCTGGAGAGAGGCGTGTGGTGTATATGTGTGTGTGTTTGGGGTGGGGAAGTCTGTTATATCTGTAATTTACATGAACAAAACTTTATACACCTTTATACATGTTTTTTTTGCTCATCACTTTGGTGCCCCCGTTAGCAGCCCTCTACACACTGCATAGACTCCATATCCCCTTTTTATTTCACAGAATTTTATAACAATAAGGGAAATTTTGAGTAAACTGCTAACACAGTAGGAGGGTGGGAAAGAGGGGTAAAATACGGTAGATTCTCCCCCAAAACAGGAGATTTGGCAGGTATGCAACTGTTGATGGCTGCATCAATTCAACTCTATTCAGTTTATTTATATAGCGCCAATTCACAACACATGTCATCTCGAGGCAATTTACAATTCAACCAGATCATACAGTAGAATTGAGTCAAAGTTTTCTATCTAAGGAAAACCAGTTGATTGCATTAATTCATTGATCCAAGGGCAATCCTCCACACTAAGCATGCTTGTAGCGACAGTGGAGAGGAAGAACTGCCTTTTAACAGGAAGAAACCCCCAGCAGAACCAGAACCAGCATCAGTAATGGCCAGCCTCAGTATACAGGCTCCTTGCCCTACCAACAAGTCATTCTGTGGTGACCAGTGGGCTTTTATGACACAATATCTCATTAAGATTACCTTCCTGTCCACAACGCATAGCTGCTCTGCTGGCAAGTAGTGGAAGGGAAACAGGAATCTGTAGTTAAAGTTGCCCTCGCCGCCTAGAGAGCGGTAGTGGACGTCTGTCTTCTGCTTGTTGTGTTCATGTCCATCAAGCCAGCTGAGAAAAGCATCAACAGATTAGCTCGTTAAACCTTCAAACAGATTAGAGAAAAAAGGCAGAACTAAATAGCCTTACCCTTTGACATAGATGTCACTCATCTTTTCTCCGGTGACACTTATATCATCCAGGAGGACATCACTGGTGTTCCAGATGATGCAGCGCAGGAAGAACCTGTTGAAGAAAACCTAATTATCACAGGGATCAAATTGACTCTAAGATGACTAAAAAAATGGCAATATGTGCATTGTCTATTTGAACTTCACATCACAAAAGACATTCTAAACACAGATTTCAGTATTATCAAACACTGTTGCCCTATTGTTAAAGTGGAACATCTATAATTGTAATTAGAACACTATATTTTTTGCACAGTAAAAGATGAGCAAAAAAGTATCACTTTTAAAATCTTAAGTAAGAAGACGACATATGATTTTGCAAACAAGTAAACCTGTTTTAAATTCTGGAGGTAGCACACACATATCATGAATGCCTTTGACAGAATTCAAATGAGAGATTTTATCTAGATTAATTCCAAGATCTTAGTAAGATTAATCTAGAAAAAAATACATTTACATTAATAATCTTCTTACTTCTTGGCCTTGCGAGGCGTGACATTGAATGGGGGTCCAGGCGGTCCCAAAGACTTAGGAAAGAGGTCCACCCACATCAACAGTCGGCCCTGATACAACAACCAGAAGTTAGTCAGAAATCAGAAATCTGTGGAGAAGATGTTAAGGACAGTAGAGAGTGGGTATGCTGTACCTGCTCTATGTCAGGCTGTAGAGGACTGTAAAGTGGTCTGGTTTCCACATGTTCAGGTACCAGCCCCATTTTCCTCAATATATGAAGGGACAATCGCTCCTTAAGTGGACCGAGGCATCGTTTGGATATTTCTTTGTCATCTAAAACATGCAGATTTTAGAGTTTTAACAAAGGATATTGCACAATGTAAAGAACTGGAGAAGAAGGATACCCATAATGCTGACAGAACTGGGAGGTCAGAAATTCACCTAACAGTAATTCATTATTCACTTTTGCTGGTCTCTGTATCACAAGCAAATGAGGAAAATCTGTGACAAAAATGAATGACATAACTGAATCATTAGTGAGAGGAGAGCGGGAAAAGATTGAGGAGGAAAAAATGGCAAATAAAAAGGTAAGCTTGAGAGAGGGTAAAGTACAGTGGCCGGGAGATGCAAACCAACATTACAAAATCTAAAACTAATCCTGAAATGATCATTTGTTTTGGAACTTGTAAAAGTTTTTTTTAAATGTAACTTTTTCTTTCTGAAATGATCATTTGTTTTGAAAATTGTAAAATTGTTTTTTAAAATGTAAATTTGTTTCTGAAATGATCATTTGTTGTGGAACTTTTTTAGAAGGTTTTTTAGATTTTGTGATGTTGGTTTGCACCTCCCGGCCACCGTAGTAAAGAGATATAAGTAGAAAGGAAAAAAGAAAACATTCAAAATGGCAGAGGCATAAAGTCTGGGGTTATAAGGATTTAGATCAAAGTACAAAATATTTAAAATATTATGAAATGAAAATAAATAGATAAGGAAAAATAAGAGTTAATTTATTCAAGACGCAAGGGAGAGAACTTTACATTTATTTAAGTCTGTAAAGTTCGCAGAAACCATTTATAGATTACTACAGTAGACCTGTTTCCTTTCAAACAGCTGTGTGTAACTACAGCTTATCCCTACTGTATGTGACATCATGTTTGTCCAGTTCTGACAGGAAACTACATTTATTACCTTCAATTAAAAGACAATAAACCAAATGTCTGGGGAGATCCACAACCTTCTCCATTGTCCACAGTGAAAAAAATTCCACTAATTATGGGGTGCTTATGGAGAAACATCTAAATCAACATCTATTTTTTGACCCAGTGAGCCAGAGGGATCCATAAGTCTCATCCACCTGAACAGAAGGGTGTCCAACAGATCACATTTATATGCAATGATTCCTGAAGGTAACTCTGAATAGGATGTTTAAGAAAAACCTGTAGGTAATACTTTCAGTGCTGACAATAAAGTGGTGTACGTTATTTTTTGCTGATTATTCTATAGCAGGTATTAATTTTGGTTTTCTGGTGGTTTAGGTGTGGTCCATTTTGGCGTGAACTGCTATAATAACAGATGCAGTTATCAGTAAATGTGTAGCAAGTCATTGATCAAACCGGACATCTTGTTCTTCTAAAGGTTAGTTAAGATAAAAAAAATAAAACGTTTGTTAGTACTTGTTCATTTTATTTTCAAAGCATAAACTTATCCATTTAACATAAGGTGTTTGAAGAGGAAAGTATAAAATCAGTTTTTTGTGACGAAGGGAAGAGGATTGAGAAAACAGCTATTTGGGATATAAAAAGAAAATAATTCAGAAAGACTTTTAATCCTGGATGCTCAGTAAAAGAGAAACATGATACCAGCATAAATTGGATATGATAGAATATGGAACATGACCTGGATAGTGAAACCATAAAGGAAAAGAAAATAAGAAGGAGAAAAGGGATGGAGAAATGGAGGAAGACTGAGCGACGTCCAGTTAATGCATCCGCTTGGTGGGCAGCAGGCTGATGCACGGGAACCGCGACAACCATGGAAAGAGAACGTGGCGTCGCTCTTCAATGACGAACAGGCGACCGCGATGTGGATGTTGGCACGCACCCGCACACACACACACTTACACACACACGGATGTGCCATAAATCACCAAACCGACAGCCATGACCTTGGATCAGAGCAGCAGCAGAGACGGCCCTGGAACACACGTGTGGCCTCAGTTTCTGAGCGCTTAGGGGCCAAACTGGTTCCTGAATATTTATTTCAATGCTCTGCACCTCAGGTGGTCCCCATGGTTTCCTCATGAGCTCTGTATCTCCTCAAAGATGTGAGGGGAGGAATAAAAGTGAGGGAAGAAAAGCTGAACGAAATAGAGGCAAGAAAAAAGTGAAGAAATCTGTTTGAGTTTCCTCAAAATCCATCTATTAATAGGTCAATGAAATTTGACCTAACAATAGGCAGTAGCAACAAGACAAAACTGATTAAAAGTTATTTAAAGATAAAAAAAAAAGGGCTTTGCCTTTACGTTTCAGTTCCACAAAAATAATAATTTTAACATAAGGCGACAACAGCTTATTAACTAATCTAGCTTCATACTGGTTGAGTTTCATTCTATATATTTTAGTTATTTTTTTTATAAACTTATCCACACCTCATACCATAAGTACTGGGTTCATTTGAATCATCAAATATTACCCACTTAAATCAGAACATCTGTGATGGGTGAAAGATGGGTGTCATGGTGTGATTATCTGGATTCTTTGTTGTGTTCAAGTGTTTACTTCGGGTTTTCAGTTACACTTTGATTTATGTCATTCTGTGTTTTCTAGTCATTAACCTAATTTCCTTTTAGTGTAATTTAAGTTCTTTTTAGTTACATTTAAGCCCTGACTCTCTCCTTCCCACCTAGCTCCCTTCTAGCTACTGTGTTCACACCTGCTCCCAATCAGTTGTTTAATCTATTCATTGTTCATTGGTTTGTTTGCCATATATATATATATATATATATATATATATATATATATATATATATATATATATATATATATATATATATGTATATATATATATACAGTATATGTTCTGGTTGCTGTGTTTGTTATTTCTGGGTATCATTCTGTTATCACCACTCTCATCATTAAAACTTTAAAGAAAACATTTCACGTCCTCTACAAACCTTCTCCCTTTACAAGGGTAATTCGAACTTAGTTATTGAGGACAGTGACTGGGAAGATGGATTTCTTGAGACTAATAGAAATAAACAGACTTTATTTGAGAGAAGTTGACTGAAAATTGAATGCTTTTTGTTATTAATTATAATGATATATAAGGTGTCACTCACCAAGGTCTGCAGCTGTGTATCTCTTTCCTCTGAACTGGATTGCGTCATCTTCATAGATGGGTTTCTTTAGGTTTCGTCGTTCACATAGTCTGCAGAGCAGCTGCCTGGGTGTAAGCTGATCCCTCCACTGGTTAAGTCCTGATCTAATATGGGATGTAAAAACAATCATAAAGTTCTGCTATGCAACACTGGTCAAAATAATCTTCTTTTAAAATATTCTATCATAAAATAATCCAATGTAAAGAGATGGTCTTGTTCACTCACATGCAGTAGGACTTTGGCAGACCGCATGTGGCTCCATATTTGGACAGGAAGCGATTCTCCAAGTCAATCACTGTCTCTCCAATCTTTTCGTCTTTTGTGACCATATCATGGTCATACAACATCACCCGCAGGTCCTTGTCCACAGGGAGGGAGCAGGTGAGCTCAAACATCCTGCAGAGAAAAAGCGTAAACACTGAACCAGTCTGTGGATGTTTCAGCAAGATGGGCTTGATAGTCTTGTGATGTTCAAGGCTAATTTGTTTATAGTGCAGCGAAAATATTATTCTCAACTTTGCAAATGTGACTCAAATGAATTATTGGCAAAACAGGCTACATCTGACTCGAGCAGGGTACAGAAATTAGTGTTGGGATCTGGAGGTCTGTCCACCTTCCTCCAGCAGAGGGCGCCTCTAGGTCTCCTGGAGCTGAGCTGACGACCACACCTGCGATCCATCAGTCATCAGGAGACCAGCATATAAGCTGCGGCAGGACTTCACTCCAGCGCCAGAGTGTTAAGCCAGTTATGGTTAGCAAAGCCTGAGCCAACCAGTCTGTCTGATTCTCTGACTCCCCTGAACTTAGAACTTGAACCTGATCAGTTTTTGTCTTCTCTGCCTTCTAGGAAGAAACCTGACTGAACCCTGGAACTCTGGAAGAGTTTCATCTGTTGAAATCTGCCTGCCGGCTCTCTGGAGCTCAACTGAAGAATCTAACTGTCTGAACCAGCCTGCCCGCCCTCAAGAAGAGGATCGGAAGAAGACTCTGGATCTGAACACTGATAAGTCTGAAGTCAAGCCCTGCCGTTGCTTAGCCCTCTGCCAACCTCTAGCCTCTGGACCCACCTGGTTCCCTCCCTCAGCTGCTAAGTCTGAATCTCGTCACAGGTACTAACCTGCACAATTCCTCTGACCAAAATCTACAGCATCCTGGCTAACCTAACTGTCCCTCTCTACAGAGAACCCTGTGTGACCAGTCCCGGTTCTGTTTCCCTGCATAACTCATATAACTTGTGTTTGTTTTCAATAAACAGTCAAACTTTTCATCTGCCTCCGTTGTGTTCTGCATGTGGGTTAGAACCCTGAACCCAATCATGACAATTAGAAAGAAGGACATAACTTTAGATAAGTTAGATCTTTTGTTACACAGATAAAGTGGAATGCTCTTTTGCTTTTAGAACTGCACTGCTTGTCTGTCATGGTGAGGTAGGAAAATCAAGGGTCTCAGTTTGCCATTTTGACTATACTCTGGCACTCACCTACGGTCATAGGAACTGAATCAGAGCCGAAGAAGATAAAGCTCTTCCTCAGGTTGGTAAATAAAGCTCTTCTATCTGGGAGAACCTCAGTGGAACCACTGCTACTTTGCACCAAAAAGTCCTGACTAGAGTCCATCAGTTTAGAGGTTTTCCAGGCAGGTATCTTTGAGCAGAGATCCTTAAACAGAACCAGGACTTAATGGTGGACGCAGACACAAACATTTCCTTTGGGACTTAAATCTGGGGGACACTTTTCAGTGCTTTTAGTTCTTTAAACTTATTTTACACTTTTTTTTTAGTACTTCGTCCCATGTTATTTGAAACTGCATTGAGATTTTGATGCAAGAAAAACAAATGCATTTTATCGAGGCAACTGGTTTCTCATCTCACCTCATACATTAAAAACAAGTTTACTCAATATAAGCCGAATCCCAATGAAAGCAACTTGAGCAGGCACACTAAGGCAAGTAACATCTTAGAACAGAAAAGGCAACTAGTTAAAGTAGCTTTAGAGGTTGTTATTGGGATATTTCATGTAACTTTAAATGCAGTGTCACCTGTGTGGGGCATACAATGCATTTCTAGACACACTCAACATATTCTCATTATCAGTTCGTATGAAATCGTACGAAAAGTTATGCACAGTATTTCGTAAGTGTTTGATGTTTTTCCTCGAGAAAACAGATCAGTGTGTATGTGCAGCCAGACAGAAAAAAAAAGGAGATCCGCGGACGGACGTAAAACTGGGAAAAACAGTGCAATAATTACTTCTTGAAGTCTCTAACTAGGTTGCTTGCTGTTTTGTATCTTAGGGTTAGGGTTAGGGTTAATTGTATGTTAAATTCTATGTTATTGAATGGTGCGTAAGATGCGCATGCACAAGGATATCTTGTCTCGAGGCAAGACCTAAAAATATGATGAAATACGACGAAAAAAACGTCAAAAACGTACAAAATACTGTGCATAACTTTTTGTACGATTTCATACGAACTGATAATGAGAATACACTGACACACTTCCGGTTAATTTTTGATTCAATTGAATGTACAGTTGACTTTAGTTCCTTTGGTTCAATTAGGGCAGCAACTGCTGAAGCTATTGCCTTCATTTTAAAATCATAACTACAATTGAAATGTAAAATCAGAGCTGTAATTAAAAAGAAAAATTAAATGAGTTTAAGGGAGTTATCGTTCATTATGTATTTTCCTGCATATATCATCATTAGTAATTTTTTTTTTTTTTATATATGTGCCTTCAGTAAAGGGGCCATAACAGGGGCAAGGAGCAGTTCTACAGGGGCACCTGCCGCTACTGGTCCCTGTCTAGAATCCCAGGCTTACATGAGTAAAAATTTAGGGTATACATTTTTTTTTCCCCCTCTGACAAAATTAGATGGATGTCTGTATTTATTTATAATTAATTTATACCATCCCATCAAGGGGCACCATTTTCTCTCTGCAGGTCTTTAAAAAGTAGAGTTTTTTTTAACACTTTTTTAAATCATTATCCATCAAATGCAACATCATCTTCAGAATTTTCTACCTATAAGCTATTCAGGTATAAAACTTCTTTGCAAATAAGTGATCTTAAACTAGATCGTTAGACATTTCTTTTCACAGCAACCTGTCATAGGTTTTTTTCCAATATATTTACTTAAATGAATAACAGATAAAACTGATAATTTTTAAGGAACTAATGGAAGAGATGGCTCCCTCTAACCATATTTTGTCACAGATGCAAACAAGGAAATATAAAGTAAAATGTTCAAAGACAAACTTTCAAAGTACCTTAGAAAGTCTGAAGAAATACGGATTTAGACAGAAGATTAAAAGAGAACATGAATATATGCTTGAATTATCCATGTAAATATTAATGTGAGGGTCAGGGACAATTAATGTGTTCTTTGCACTTCTCTCTTCTTTGGCTCTAATTGTACAATGAATAAATAAATTGATAAATAAACACCTCTGATTATTTCCCTTAGGATCTGAGCTCCATGTTCATATCTGTGATTGGTTTGTGTGTACTGACCCCTACTGTCCAAAAAACTAACACAGTATCAAAATAATCAGAGGAGGAGATCACCACATTGTGACTAATTAACAAGCACAAGATAAATCTGTCAGCTTATTAATGGCGATGTAATAAATGCAGTCATTAGTGGCTCATTGTTAACATGTTTGATGTGTTCATGGAAAAGATTGCCTTAAATCTGAGTCATGATTTGGGCTGGAAAAAGCAAATCCACCCACTGTGAACACATTAACTGAGACAGAGTTCAACAGTAGGTGAGATGTGGCAAAGCTTTGGAAAACTTTCACACCCCTGCAACTTAGCCTTATTTTATCATATCGTGACAAATGTCAATGTGTTTCATTGCAGCAACAGGATAGAACCACCCAACATGCTGTATAATTGTAAATTGCCTCAGCCAGGGGTTCTACATGATTTGCTCAGTATTCAGCCATATCCACCTTTCCAATCAGCTTCCATTTCACTAATGATGCAAATCTTGCCCAAATCATGAAGCCGTAAATACAAATATTTTGGAGTATTTTGCATTGTTCTTCAAAGATATTGATTCACATTAAGGCAAAAAGGGTGAAATAATTGGCCTTATATGATCAGATCATCTTTTCAAATTTTTTTTTTTTATGTTTCCTTTAATCCCATAAATAGCACATGGCAAACTGCCCTTCTGTCTTAATTTGAAACTTGGACTCTTATATCTAAATTTCAGACTCACATTCCTAATTATCCCTTTATTTTAGTTCATTTCTGAAGTGTTAGTACAAAACAACTGGGAATTAAAACCAATCTTTTGTTCTTGAACTCACAGGACAGGTGTCCTGATACTTTTAATAATGTCTTTGCTTCAACACACCTGACTCCAATATAAGCTCAATGGCAGAGCTCTGCATGGCTCTGCATACTGTTGCTAGTGAGGTAGTTAAGCCATTTGATTCAGGTGCACAGCAATAAACACATTTTAAAAAGTTGCAGGAACCTGGTCCTTGAGGATTTTTAGTTCATGGTCACAGATTAGACAATGGAATATGGAATAAAGTCTTGAATTACAAATACTTTCCTTACTCTCTGTTACCAGTAAAATCTGAAGTTTCTCAATATTTATTCAAACTTAAACCACTTTGACACACCTGATTTAAAAAAAAAAATCTATAAACATGGTATATTTGTAGTTGATAACGATCAATCAGTTTCATTTAACTTTTGCATTCTTCGGCAAACAGACCGAGCAAAAGGGATAGAAGAATACATACTTTCCAAACACGGGGTCCAAAGTACAGGGGATGTAGTTTTCATGGTCATTGATGGTCTTTTTCCCCAAAGTGATCTTTACATAAGGGTCACACTGAAAAAGACAGCAAATCACATTTTAGATTAAGTTTTAAATGAATCTTTTTCTTGATGAGGGCATCAAAGACCTACCTTCCCGTTGGCATCTTTGGGCTGCAGTCCTTGAGCCTCAATGATGTAGACCCGCACCAAACAGTCTTCGATGCCATTTGGGGGAAGTTTTTTAAAATGTCTGGGGGGAGCTGGAGCTGACGGGTCATCTGGCAGTGGGTAGATCTTAAACATACCCTGATTCAGACACAACAAAATATTAAAGCAGAATGTCACGTACCAATCTGACAGAGTAGATGTAAAAAAATCTATTATTAAAATTCAGTGTAACCAATTATAATAGCTTAATACACAGGATGCATTTTGGTGTTTACCTTGAACTCTCCCACAACCGAAGGGTCTTCTCCTTCATCCTGAGTCTTTCCCCTATATAGTTTAAATGTTTTGCAGAAGTCAGAGAGACCCTCAAAATCCTCCACCTTCTCCAACTCCCGGTCATAAACCTGAAACCCAAAACAAACAAAAAACAAAGGGGGGTCTAATTATTTACCAGGGGAAAGAGGTGACAAATAAAAAAATTAAATGTGAGGTTGGAGCGAATCAAACAAATTAAGCCTGACTTCAAGCAGAGACCAATAAGAACCTTAAAGAAGAAGATGAATTGTCTGGAACGACTAGAGCTGAGATTTTATAAAGCGTCAACATTTAAACTAGGCAATAAAACAGTGGAAGTGGAAGAAATGAAAAAGTCAGAGCAAAGATCAAAATTTTTTTTCCCAGCATGCTCCGTCCAAGGAGGCAAATTTATGTCAGTTTTTTTATTTTATAGAAATTGTATACATAACACATTTACAAATATTGACAGCCTTTCTTACGGTGTTTAAAGCATTGTATGAAAAAATGACAAAATCTGAACAGTAATCAGTTATGTAATTGATAATTTAAGGATCAGCCACAGGTGCTGAGAAAATCAGAACATTTGTATGTCTTTATGAGGTTTCTAACTAAACCCCCACGTTGTTTCATAGGTCATCCTTCATGAGTCTTTATGGATTTAAAGTGAAGCCAAAAGGCGAACAAACACAGAAACGCCTTACGTACATTTAGGCTGGCAAAAGATACTGTCTGCACTGTTTTTCGGAGCTGGGCGGTGACGGCTTTGTGTCAAAACTACAGGAAGGTTCATTTGTTTTCATTAGGGATGTTTGTTGCATCTGTCACAGCAGTGACTGAATAAGTCGAGAAGTGCTGCCAAAGAAAAACAAACTCATTGGTCACAAAGAGGGATTAAGTGGAAGGCTCAGCAGAGAAGGACAAAAAATCGGGGTTAAATATTAGACCATTGTCATTACGACACTGTTAGCAGTCACTTACTCTTCTTACTCTTCTAATTTATGAATGTATGAGTCTGACTGTCTGGGAGTTAGTCACTCACAGCTAGATCATTTGAATCTTAAGATGTATATTAAAGAGAACAAGAAACCAAAAAACAAGGAAAGGTGATGTTTAGATTATAAGACGTTCATCATTGTAAGTGTCTTTGTTAGGAGTTAAAGTAATGATTTCAATTATACAATTTACACAAAACATTATTGTGCTAACATAACTAATTATCTTATATTTCAGTTATTTCAGGGCTTTTAATGAGCCATTTAGTTTAGAGAGAAATAGTCGTACAATATAAAAATATTTCATGAAAACAAGAACGTAGCTTACAACTTTGAATTGAATGTGTCTGGATATTTAACCTTGGTTGTTAGCAGAACTGGCAGAGTTCCTTTAAACTGACACTGAGGCAGAGGTGGAAGCTGAAGTTCACCTTGATGCTCCTCAAGTTTTTAAAGGGGGGGAGTTCCCGTCATGCATCTGGTCTTTCAGGCACTACTCCAAGTCTAGTCTGAACAGTTTGAGGAGGGAGTCCAATTCTAGCCACAAGTCTTTAGAGGACAAATCTAGCCAAAGTCTTTACCCCTACAACACGTCTAAACTTTGAAATGTGAGCCGAACTAAAGCTTTACATATTTAAAAAGCAGATCCTATGTTTTTCGTACTATGTGGAGCACAGATGGAAAGTAAATGTTTTCTTATAAAATGCACTGTCCTATAACACTACATTCTCATAGATCAGGAGATCAAAAATGACAGTTCATCGTTAAGCATATTTCCACACATATGCATTTAACAGTCATATTAACTTATGTTAATTATGACAATTTATCTTATTTTAAAAATTGTTTCAGCATCAGAGAAGTTTTATGTGTTTATTGTCCAAGAAGTACATTAATTGGTTCAGGTTCAGTCATTGGATTTATAAGATGATTAGAAAAACACTTTCTAAATCAGTATTTCAAACTCTGTTGTTGAGTTTGAGTATGAAGAGTTTCTAATGATGCAGCTAGTCAAACAAACATATAATATTTAGGAGAGAAATATATTTTTGTTGCTGTGCTTGTGAGTGGGTTGTTATAATATAGGCTACATCCACCCATTTAATCTATAATATCTAAAAGTCTCTGGCAAATATTTCAAGCACCTCTCATTGTTTAAAATCAAAATATAGGTATGGAGAACATTACCCCTTACTCCCAAATTTAATTAAATTAAGTTTTTTTTTAAGTCACAAATAAGTCTATGAAGCCCATGTCCAGCATAAATAAAAGTAAAGTCTAAGGATTTTTTTGAAGGACTATTAGTCGGAGACTAATTTCTTAGATGTGCTGTGCCTTTGTCCCATCTGGCAATAAATGCTTTTCTATAAAGCAATTGGAGTTCCTCTATGATGGGCTGCAAATGTTGTTTGAGCTCAAAGGTGTTGGTTTTGAAGCAGGTTCTCTGTTTCTTAAGGCTTGTTGACAAATACATTGGTGTTCTAACAGTTTTTATCTCATAATGGGCTTCAGCCTTGGAGGCCAGTGAGTTGTTCTGGAACATCATTACCCATTTCCTTTTGTCTGAAGGTGAGGATTTACATTTTAAAGGCTTAAAATTAATATGACATCCATGGATATAATGAGTATATATAAACTCCTGATTTGAATTATGGATTAACCTTCGCCTACAGGGACTTTTTACTTCTTCTAGGATATGATATATTCGGGTCGTCATTTCAGACTCTGCCATTTGAACAACAGTACCAGTCCAATTTCAGTCAAAGGGTAGAGGAAATCACTTAAGAAGGCAGACAAAGAGTAAGGAGGTGGCAGCTTTGGTCTAAAGGAAGGTAAAGGTTGGAAATAACAACTCATTTTCCTAAAACAGAAGAGGTTGTGCATAAAGAGCTTGTTGAACGGACTAAAGGAACAAGAGAAAACGTCCAGCAAGACTTTAAAAGGAGGAGGTGCTGGAACAAAATAACTGTGACTGGAAGAACGAGGAGGGAATGAAAAAGACGCCAGGTAACAATTGGATCGACAGCTCATTTCTCAGCTTTTACCCATGTCCATTAAACTGTCAAGTTACATTGGAAGCAAAAGTTTGGACTTTAAGGGGACAGAATAAAATATTCTATTTAAATCTCAGAATTCAAATGACAGCCCATATATTTATAAATGGGAGCTTTTTATTGATCAGTAACTCATTAGCTTTTAGTTCAGGAAGGTGTTATTGTAGTCAACTATCGACAGAGTGAAGACTTGGTGATAAAATCACTTGGAGATGTTCTTTATATCAGAGACAAAGTGTGTGAAAAGTACAGCAGCAATAAAGTCCAAAGGTTTCTAATGACGGCTAAAGGACAATAAAATAAACAGATGGGGGTTGAAACTGAGGCATGTACGTGAAGCTACTTTTATAGAAAGACTTAAGGTTAGATAAAAAAATCTCCCTGAAAAAAAAAACTGTTTAAAAGTCACATTTTGAGACGACTCTGGGCGCCAGAAGAGCAGAACGACAATTGCTTTAAGGTCTAGTGGAGTGGAAGGTCACTTTTTGGACCAAGAGAATCTGGATAAGGGTCAATCAAAGCGTGGGCGACGCAAAAGAAAGGAGACTCCAGGGAGATAGGCAGACATTAGGATTGCTTGTTTCAGACATTGATGACATCAGAACTTTGCCTTCAATCTGTCCCACTGCTGTGATCAGAGAAAGGATTCATTTTGTGGACTCCTGATGACGTCTAAGGACAGGGCATGAGAACTAGTTTTTGTAGGGAAAACACAGACAACCACAAGGATGGGAACGAAGTAAACCAAACCAGTGTATATTACCTTCTTTGATGTGAACCTTTCCCCTTTTCTTACTAACAAAAGCTGCAGTTATGCTTCTAAATGTGGTAAAGATGACTTTCTGAAGAACAAACTAAACATGAATTACATGATAGAAGATTTAGGTGATTTTGAAGGTGGTCTTCTCTGAGAGACCTCTGATCTACTAGGATTTCCATGCAAAAATGTATCTGGTTTACCACTGTTGTTGGAAGGAAATGTCTTGTTAGCTAGAGATCAGGGGAGACTGGGCAGACTGGAGTGAGATGAAAGAAAGGACACAAAACTATAGAAAAATACTTGTTAGAAGCACAGTATACTGAGTAGCATCTCTTAACAAAGTAAAGGTTGAATCTTGAAACAGATGGGCTACAATAGCAGAAGACCAAACCAAGTTCTGCAATATATCTGCAAAGAGCAGAGAAACTGATGCTGCATTTCCCACAGGATTCTCAAACCTGGAATCTGGTTTTCCAATCAGGCTGGAAAACTTTGCCTGTCCTGATGAGTCTCAATTTTGGAAGAGGTTTAATAGCGCTGTGTATACTTTGTTTATACACTTAACACCCATTATAACTTACTATATATTGCTGGAATGCCAGTATTCCAGGTATCAGCTACTTGTGTTTACTCAGAGAAGAATTATAATTTCCTGCAAGGGATTAATTAAGTAACTCTGATTCAGATTTCCCAGAGTTACTTTAAAAAATAATAATAATATTTTTAGGAATAGTTGTACTATCCCATAATTCCCATTCAGTGAAGTTATTCATCCATTGTGGCTAGCTTCACTGGTTTTCTACAAGCTTATTTTAAACAAAAGTGCTCCAGACAAACAAACACAGTTAATATTGTTATATTGTCTATACATAAGCTTACCTAATATTGGTTTTATCTACCGTGACAAAACCATGAGTGTCAAGCTAAAATACAGTGAGGAGAAAAAACAGTGATGGGAGGTATTTCACACTGGTCTCACATCCATACATTATAATTGAACTTTATTGATCCCACATTGGAGAAACTTACGTCTGCATTTAACCCATCCCCTTGGGAAGCAGTGGGCTGTGATCCTGCAGCGCCCGGGGAGCAGTGTGGTGTTAAGGGTCTTGCTCAGAGAGCCAGATTGGCAGTCTGTGGGAGTGGGGCTCAAACCCAGAACCTCAGGATTTGAAGCTCTATGCCCTAACCACTAGGCCGCCATAAACCTGAAGAAAATTGTTTTTGCCCCATTGCCTGGTTGCATTTTCTTTAAACATGTTTTATCCGCAGAACTCAATTTAACAATGTTTTTACCACTTTTAAACAGTGACTCTTCCCAAAGCGACCCAGGAAACTGGAAACTCTCACATCTTAAAATTAAACTGTTAATTTCAATGATTACAGTTTTTACCATTTTGTTTAAAAAGATTAAAAAGTTTACTTTAGGTTTTCCCCTACATCAACAATTAACGTAATTTACACCTCACCTTCAGAGTATCCAGGCCGTTCTCCAGGTAAGTCCCACACTTGTTTTTATCTCCAATGGAAGCATAGAATTTACTCCACCAGTCCATGAACTCCTCGGCCTAAAGACAAATGTTCAGAGTTAGAAAACAAAAAATTTAAGTGAATTTTATGTATAAAATGCTTTATAGCAAAGGGTCTGTTTTTTTCTCTCTGACAGTTGTTTGAGATTTGTCAAGATCTCTTAAGCAAATTGTTGATTTTTATCGGGGGTGTTCCGAAATATTCTTAAATCCAAAACACATAATTTTCACTTTAGGCCTGAATTCAACCCCACTTTTTCTTTACTGTGTTGCTAACTGATGTAATCTCAATATATAAACTGACATCCCTTCAATCACCGAAATGCCTTTTTTCCAACTGGGCTTTGGATGATCATTACAACAGAATTTTCTTGACAGCTGAACTTATTTAAAATTATTTGACTTTTCAAACACATTTAAAGTCCTGTATGAACTTCTGTTTGTCTTTGTTATGTTTGCTATGTAGCACTGGGGTCAGAAATAACCATGATTTTTCCAGTGATCACATTGGAGATGGAGTTGGCCAACTCACGTCAACACGGCTAAAAACTGTCTCTGGTGGCTCCATGGCATTAAGGTCATGGTATATGGAGATTTGATGCAATGGAAAAGGGGAAAGCAATGGGGAGAGGTACAATCTAGGCAAAAACCGACATGCACACCAGAGGAACTATATTATTTTAAAAATCCTAATGTTTATGTATAAAGAAAAGGACAGTTTCTGCTTGTTTTGAGCTGGTTTTCCATACCTTTTATAAAACCGTGTAAGTAATGCTTCTTATCAGATTTACGTAACCATAACACCCATTGAACTTTTGTTTTCCAATACGTTTCCTTGAATATAACTTTTTTAAGCTGAAGAACAATCTGTTAACAGACTTACCCATTGCAACAGCTATGGCCCGCATTAACAGTAAGAAAGAAAATAAATGTAAATGTTTGAGAATCATCCTATTCTAGACTGTGAATACGTGTCATTGATACTATCAGAAATGTACACATTAAAACAATAAGAACAAACACATTCAATGGAAGTATGACTTCTTCATTCATGTAATACATGAAGGATTTCAGTCTAAAATGAGACACTCACCATTTCAGGAAAAAAAATGAAGTGACCCCTGTATTACAACATGACTGCTGGCATGGAAGTGAAGGTTGTTAAAGTTACTATTACAGCTATGAGTCATGCTGAGGTCTTACAATGTCCTTCTGTTCATAGGGTGAAACACAGATCTTTGATTTGAGATGCTGAGGCTTGGATGATTGTCATTTTGACTAATTTAAAGTGATTTTTCAGGGATACATAATGGTTTAAATTGAACTGGGATGCAATAAAGTATAAAGCTGCTTTGTGCATCAAATTTACAAAAATGATCTGCTCATATTGGCAACATCAACCATAGGGTTAATAAAAAATGTTTTTGCATTATTTTCTTCCAAAAATAAATTCTGTCATTTTGTGTGATTGTGACTGTGATGGAAGAAGGGAACAAGCCTATAAACAGAAATAAAGCCTCACATTTAAATGCAATCAGTCTCCACCCTGCCGCACTAAACCCTCCAAGGAGCACTCAAATTGGTGACGCATGCACGTCTCTTAACTTTCTGTGCATTAATGTCCAACAAAAGTGCTGTTATAGAAGCAGGTTTGTGCGGAATCCCCTTTCTCATATTTCCCACAGACTCAAATACACACACAATCACTTAAAAGCACAACTAGGGCAGGGAACACTATGAAATTCCTAATTTTTCCAAAGCAGCAGCCCTTGATGGCATGGAAAAGACAAGCATGTGGGGCTCAGCATACACATACGTCTGAGGCTCGAAGCCGTCTGCTGTGCGTTAATGTGCCCTCTGTGTGCAGCAAGTGCCAAACACTTATGACAGGGGCGCCAGTGAGTGTTCGCCCACCATCGTTTCAGGGTGTGTTCGCTCAGGTCCACGAGACTATGTTCAGACAGATTAAAGCCGTAGCTGGACCGTTCCAGGCTACAACATGGGAGCCTGGAAAACGAGTGTACACACACGAGGCCTGTAGCGGTCGGTAAAGGGTGTCGGTGTGGTCTGCAGCCAATAATTATGCCCCGCAGGAAAAGCCAGAGTAACCAAATAAGACTGGCACTGCCAATAGCTCTCAGAGCAGAGCGACAGGATTTACATAAGAGCTCTGAGATGCTTCATAAAAGCTTTTATGGGGAAACCCCATCCACTTCAGGGTCAGCGGTCAGGTCAGATTTCTGCATTTGTGGCAATTTGTTGTGTGGCAAGACACAAGGCCCCGTTCATCACCCAATTACGAAACATATGATTTAAACTTAATTATTTAATGCTATGAAAACATCTGGAAAATACAGAGGGCTCCATCAATGGCAAACTGAAGGACACAGAGCTAACCCCAGAAGCGCTAAAGTGCAAGTGTCAATAAATCTTATACAATCCAGTGAAGAAAGTGAAACTGAAGTGGAGAAGTGTCTGCCTACTTACAGATACATTGTTTTTGGTTTTTTAAAAGTTTTTAAAAAACTTTTAGATTCGACAAATCATATTATCAGATAGTTTCCCTGAGTTGAGGAAGTCTGATTATTTCACTTATTCATTTTTTTAAGGGACATTGTGTAATAATTTTGCTGCCTTAAATCAATTACTTCAATAGCACATGTGTTATTATCTGTGTATTATTACATGCAATAAAAATTAATACATTGTTGTGAGCGAAGAAGTAGATATTAGTCATTGCTTAAGCCTGGTCACCTGTTTGTGAAGCACAATGACAGCCGGCTATTTTGAAAGTACAGCCGCAGGAGAGGGATTAAAACAGTATTAACGAGCGTAATAGCAAAGCATTTTCCCTTGCATCGGACAAGCCTTTTCCAGGTGGAAAGAGCCAATAAATGAGAAGGATTAGAAAATGGACGTTGAAGTTACCATGTTTCTTCATGACAAGTAAGTAAACTTTACTGCTATAGTTAGCCTAATGATAACTCTTTCCATTCTATTTAATTAGAAGGTGTTGCCCCGTTACCATAGGAAGATCCAGAAAGCACATACAAATCCTGTTGGTACAGAATTTTAGGTTTACATGGGTTTGGTACCTCTTAAAGCCATAGTGAAGGCTGGATTTTTGTCACAGTAAATACCAGCTTGCAAAACTTCAATTCACTTCGGATGATGTAGTTACATCTGCATTTTTGAGGATTTGTGACAAACAGCCACTATCATTGCCGCAATAGGAATTTGAGGCAGTGGGATATTATTTGATTTAATAATAAATTCGACTCAACTAATCACATTTCAATGGAGGGCCAAGGTCCTTAATACTAGCCACACCCAGGTCCCATTACTACCAGACCCGAGGAATCAAGAATGACTGTCAGACAATGCGAAGTTAGTAAAAAAAGTATTGCAATAAAAATCAAATCACAACCTGATTTGAATCAGATCAAGTGTAGATGAGAAACAAAGTCACTGACATCTAACAGAATGAAAAATGTTGAAAAACCTTTTTGAGGGATTTTTGTCCCCTGAGTCCCTATATTACCCCAAGAACACATTAACGATTCCTCTAGGAGGTCTAAAGGAAAACTACAGTAGAACATCTAGAAAACTACTGGCCTGACTTTCTTCAGTTAAGGTCAAAGTTCATGAAATAAGAATAAGAAAGAGACTTGGTAATATGGCACCTAAGGGAGAGTTTAGGAATACAACCAGTTTAGGAGTACCAAAAAAAACAAATAAGGTATTTTTATTGATCCTTAAGTATTTGAGAAAAAAGTCAAAGTTTCTGAAAGACTATATCTTCTTATATCTGATATAAAGCTAAGCATTTCAGAAAAAGAACATCTTACCGGCAGAGGTAGTGGCAGAAATTCTACTCTTAACCAGAAAACCTGGATGGAGAATGTCCACCCATCGGTATGTGACCTTAAGCTCTGGCTCACTTGAGTTATGCAGCAGAATAATAATCCAAAGAAAATCAGCAAAAGTCCAACACTAAATGGCAAAAAAAGAACTTTGTGGCTGAATTAAAACGATCTGCACAGAGTGGGCTAAAATTCCTCCACAGCAAGATGCCAGTCACTTCACCCACTTAATGGCAATCGTTAGAAGAAACCCAGTTATTACGGTTTAGAGGGCAATTTTATTTTCACATACTATAACCAATACTGCTTAATGTGGAAGGAAATCTGTACAGTCTTGGGAAAACAAAGGATGCCTTATAGCTAAGTAGATTTTAGAACCGTATTTGAAAACAATGATTTGATGTAGTAGTTTTTTGTGTAACCTTTTACACTTACACATTATTGTTGAGGAATTTTCAGCCAGCTTCTATGTTTTATCATTGCTTAATTAAGCAAAATAATTATCTCTGCATCACTTCTCTTAAATGACACTACACTATTTCAATCAGGTTGATGTGTAGACTTTAATGGAGTAATTGCAGAACCTTTATTTTTCTCTTCTTCAAACATTCTAAAGCAGATTTTCTGCTGTATTTGTGCCCCTTGTCCTGTTGATGAGGCAACTTGGATCTGAAGTCTTTGGCCTTTAAAATACAGTAGAAGCCATTCAAAATGGACCTTCCCAGTGAAATGCCAGCAGAACGGCAGCCACTTCCCTTGAACTCCCAGCAAATTCCCATCCAACTTCCAGCCACTGGCCTTCTCCTGAGCATTCATATTTTTTTACTCTGACTTCACCCTTATACTGAATTACAAAGTCTGAGCTGGAGACGATGCTTCTCTTCGGATCTTAATGTCAACGAATCATGACAGAAAAAATATTTTTTGTGCAAATATTGATGTTAAAAAAGGAATTGTAGGGGACCAGCCAAGGGCCCATCAAGGAAAGTTGGGAATTTTTAATGGTTTCTACTATATGACTTCACATTCACCTCTAGAAAACATCATAGTTCATGGTTGAGTCAGTATCTAAAAGGTGTTTGGTTTTGTGGCTGTAAAAGAGCTGAAACCATAGCCCATCCAAAGCTGTGTTTGAGAGAGTTGTTGATGTGGTGCTGACATAATCTGTTTGGCTTC